TGAAGTCCACACAGCTTAAAGTTGCCAAGGTTGAGAAACACTGCATTACTATAAATCAAACTCGCTCTGTGCAGTGTACATGCCCAGCCATAAGTTTTTGGCAGCACGGAGGGGCATTATTCATTTCTATTTACAGCCTTCCCATGTTTTCAAAGGGCCTCGGGGCAGAAGCAAGCTGGAGCTGGAAATGTTGCAACAGGGCGCGCAGGGGGTTGCTGCATGGAAATCTCCCCCGCGCTGCAACCGAGGCGCTCTCGTTTTAATTCGCGCTTCTACAGACATCTGCAGTATCGATTGCTCGCTCTCCCACCTGGGAGTCTTCCGATCGGAGAGGCTCGGATAATCAAAAATTGCAACATTTCCCGCGGACGGCCCACCCCCCACCCCGAATCGGAGTTTCTGCGCCAGGATCATCCCCCCTCCTTACCTTGATTCGCGCCGGGTCCGCGGGGAGGGGGCGCAGCCCCGGCGGGCAGCTGCAGAAACAGGGCGCGGAGGGAAATGAAGCGGATCAGCTCCACGCCGGTCCCGAACGTGAAAAGGAAACTGCCCACGGCCGGGATCAGCAGCAGGAACGGCAAAGCAGCCATGGCGGGGAAAAGAGCTTCTCCCGCCGCCTGGAAGAAACGCCCCGCCGCGGGAGGGGCTTTCCCCGGAATCCGCACGCCCTCCCGTGACGTCCCCGCCGCGGCGTTCCTCCTCGGCCCCGCCCAGAGCACGAGGGCTTCCCTAGAATTCCCGGGCCCGCCTGTGTTCTAGTGACGTCACGTCCATCGGAGGGGGAGCCCCGCTTTAGAGTTCCCGTGACGTTGGAGTCTAGAGGCTGCTAAACTCTGGCGCCCTGACGTCACGCCAGGAATCCATTCGCTAAAAGTGAACCCACCCCCGGCGTTCCGATCCCGGGATCAGGCCAGATTAAAAGCTGCGTAAACATTATTCTGCTCTTTTCCTTGCACCAGGAAAAAGCAAGTACAGAGCCGGTCGCTTTGTGTTCCTGCTGCCTGGAGGTATTTCTGCGACTTGCGAAATGTCTGGGCCATTCCCCGCTGCTGCTTTTCAGCCAGAGAATTCAGACACCTGTTTCCAGGATATTAAGCGTCAAACATACAAAGGTCCGACCAAACCAGGGAAGGCCTTGAGAGCCTCAGCAGGGGGCAGCAACGGCTGGCGGGATGGGGCAGCCTGGGAATTTTTGGAGGAGGCTGGGAAGCAGGAAAATACCCGGGCAAGCCATGCTTTTCCTGGAGCAGGAAAACTGGATGGATGCAGTCCCCAGGTGTTGTGCAATAAAATACCTTTATACTAAAACAGTGTTGTCCAAACTTGGCCACTTTAAGATGAGTGGACTTCAACTCCCAGAATTCCCCAGCCAGCCATGCTGGCT